CCCCCCCCCCCCCCCCCCCCCCTGTTTCCCTGTTCCAAGGTAGCTGAATGCAATGGGTACTTGTGCATTATTGGAAGAGCTGTAGGTTTAAAAATGTGTCAGGCATTAATGTCCCAGGTGTGTGGAACGGTAGGTGGAAGAACTGTTGTCCCAGAGACAGGGGCATTAATTTTCTTAATGTGCGGAAGTAACGCCCTCCCCTCGATTACTCTGCTGTGCATATTGTTTGTAAAATTCTGCAGAAAATGTTCCACCCTCTTATCTGTCTTCAGGCAGCCAAACCTCCTGACCTGAACCCTGAAACAGAGGAAAGCCCACCCTCGCACAGTTCTCCCAAAGGCCCAGACCCTCCCGTCCTTACAGAGGTTGGCAAGCAGGAAGAAGAGCCACCGCTCGATCTAGAAGGCGTGAAGAGGAAGATGGACCAAGGAGGCTATTCTTCTGTGGTAGGTCTTGGCGCCGTCGGCCACCCTCGCTTTCAGGACTTCTGCTGCTGCTGGGGTGGAGAGAAAATTGAAGCCGAGTTAAAAGAGGCCATGGCGGGGCACTGGGCACTGAGAGGCCGCCATCCTCTTGCCACTTCGTGCACGGTTGTTGCCCTGTTTCCCCTCCTGTGAGTAGTGAAGAGGAGGCCACCCATTTGAGCCCGGCATGGCTGGGCCAGGGAGCTGCCCGATGGAAATGCCGGTATTGAGGCATCCCTTAAGGACCCTGATGAGGTGGGTCCTGTTTTTCCCATCTAGCTGGAGTTCAGCGACGATCTTGTTAAGATAATCCAAGCAGCCATCAATGCCGACGGAGGGCAGCTGGAGCTCAAGAAGGCCAACAGTGTGGTGAAGTCCTTCTTCATGAGGGTAGGCTGTATTTTGCCCTTGCCTGGAGGGAAGTGGGTGTTGCCCTTGTTCCCAGAGCAGCTCCGATTCTCCTAGAAACCATTTTTAAATCTGTCATAAGTTCAACATTCCGATAAATTTGCCGAGCTCTGAGGCAGTTTTCTTAAAAGGTTAATGACAAGCAAAGTAATACTGAATCTTATTTAAAATTGTGGTTTTCCTCTTTAGCAAATGGAACGAGTTTTTCCATGGTTCAATGTAAAGAAGTCAAGATTTTGGGAACCAAACAAAGTCACGGCAAAGTAAGTAATTGCTCTGCTTCACAAAGCCACTCCCTGTTGCTAAGCAAAGGTGGGACCCTTGGAAACCACCTGGACTTCCGAACGGCCTCGCTGGCCGCATGCAGCAACTTCGGTCGAGCGCCAGAAGCAGGAACCCTCTGGCGGCGCCCTGTCTCCGAAGAGAGCTGAGGGACGAGCTGGAGGGCTTTGGAAGCGGAGAGCTGCATCTAACTGACGGCTGTGTCTCTTCCTGTCTTTCAGCAGTGGAATGCTGCCCAACGCTGTGCTGCCCCCCTCCCTTGACCATAACTATGCACAGTGGCAGGAACGCGAAGAAAGCTCTTCTGCTCAGCAGCAGCCCCCCCTGATGAAGAAAATAATCCCAGCTCCAAAGCCCAAAGCACCGGGAGAGCCAAACTCCCCCACGCCACTGCACCTCCCTGCCTCACCCTTATCCAGTGAGAAGTTGAGCCTCCTTTCCTTGCACTCTCTGTGGGAGGTTCTCCCGGAAGATGGGCTTTTCAGCCTTGGGGGAGCAGAGAGGAGCCTCGGGGCCCACTTTCTGCCTAAATGAAATCCATCCCGTTTCTCTCCCCCCAAATCCTTTGAAAGAGCTCTTAACTGCTCATCCTTTTGCAACTGGGTCAATGGCTCCCATAGCTAATCCCGTTTCTTCCCCATATTCCTCCTTGGGAGTTAATGCTTTCCGTTTGCTTTGAGGTCCCGACAGAGGCCAAGACGACAGCCCAGCTCTTTCCCCGCCTCCGGATGTGGAAGACAACCGGCAGTGCGCTCTCTGCCTGAAGTACGGTGATGACGGAGGCAACGTAAGTAGTGCCAGACGGCCCCGATTTCAGCCTTGCTGAGGTGCTCCTGCTGGCTCTGTCTCCTTCAACTAACCCTGGCAGGTTGATCTCGAGTCCCCTTCCTCCCTTAGAGCGATCTCGTTTGTCCGTTAAAAACATTCGATTAAATCCCTCCGAGACTTTGGCGAGCAAATTCACTTGGCAGTAATGTTATCAAAGAGATTGTTACATTTTTATCCCACTTAAAAAGTTAGTCAGCTCAAAGCAGCAGACATGCTCAACACACCAACTGCCTCGCAGTTTCCCCTCCGTAGCAATCTTGTAATGTGGGTTTGGCTAAAAGAGAGCAACCGGCCCCAAGTCCTCCGGCCAGCCGGCTTTCATGCCCAGAAGACGGGCCCAGAATTCATTGCCTGGTTTCCAGGAAGCGTTTGGAAAAAGAGAACTAGAAAAATATTAGTGACTGAGGGATTCTTCCCATTCTTTACGGATGACTCGGAGGTGGTAGAGATTGGTTAGGATCTCATGATGAAATTCAGATACTTTGTTAGAATACCAACAGCTGTAAAAGCATTGGGGAAACCTACATGGTAAAAGAAAAACAGGCATAAGTTGAGGATGGAGAACATCTGGCTTAGCAGTTATACGTTGTGTGGGAGAGGAACCTTGGGCTGATCGTTTGGCCACAGTCTGAAGGCGCCTTAGCAGTATTTACAGAGGATCAAGCCATCTTCGAACTGAGACCAAAATAATGGGCCTTCTCTGGGCACCCTCCCTGCTCACCAGCCCTTCCTCCCTGAGCAGGGTGGGGCTTCTGCCTGGGAGTGCCTTTGGTGGCACGCTCTTTGCTTTTCCGCAGGATGCTGGCCGCCTCCTTTACATTGGTCAGAACGAGTGGAGCCACGTGAACTGTGCCCTGTGGTCAGCCGAAGTGCTTGAGGAGGAGGATGGCTCTCTGAAGAATGTGCACGTGGCTGTGATCCGTGGCAAGCAGCTGGTGGGTAGCTGGTGGGACTGCTGAGAGTCCACTTCCGCGCTTCTCCCCTGGCCAACTCCAGGCGCAACGGGGCTCCTTTGTGCGGCAGTTCCAGTTGGGGGACCTCAGAGCAGCATTTTCAGAAAGGGAGAAAAGGTTTCTTCTGAAAGGAAAAGATCTGTGAATTCAATGTTATTGTTTTATTCCAGTAATGCCAGTGACAGGAACACAGGAGCCTGCTGCGGAGTGTGGGATGGGCTCTGCTTGGCAGAGTCTTAGCAGCCGGACGGGGGGCGTAAAAAGGGGCTTTTCAGCAGTTAAGGTGGGAGTTGCCCCGAGCAGTTGAACTGAGGCTCAGCCTCTTCCTTAAGTGCCGATTCCTTCGGATTGCTTCAGAGCGCCTGCTGAACGTTCTCGGCCGCTGTGTTAAACAAATAGATTTAAATGTATGCTTAAATGAGTGGAATATGCAATGTGGTAACCCTAAACATGTGCTTGGTTTGTAAAAACAGGGGGGGGGGGGAAAGACCAGGAGCTTTGCTTGCTTACAGCTAGGGGCAAGAAAGATGGGCCAATTAGGAGTTCTCTGATATCATAATAATCAGATATATAACATTCGTTTTAACCGTGCAGTATTTGTGCAGTTTGACAATCAGAGTAACATGCCAATCTTGCAGCGATGTGAGTTCTGCCAGAAGTCGGGTGCCACAGTCGGCTGCTGCCTGGCCACTTGTACCAGTAACTACCATTTTATGTGTTCTCGGGCCAAAAACTGTGTCTTCTTGGAGGATAAGAAGGTGTACTGCCCACGACACAAGGACATGATCAAAGGAGAGGTGCGTCCTGTGCCACTTGCCCCTTTTCTTGCCCCTCACTCGCTTTCTGCCCGGGTGACTTATTCTGCCGTGGGTTTCTTTGCAGATAGTGCCAGAAAATGGCTTTGAGGTCTTGAGGAGAGTCTTTGTGGATTTTGAAGGAATCAGCTTGAGGAGGAAGTTTCTGAACGGTTTGGAACCAGAGAACATCCATGTGATGATTGGTAAGCCCGTGTGTGGAGCCAGACTAGATGCCCTCTTGTGCCCCTGCTGTTCTTGTGCTTCAGCCTTTCTTCTACTTCCACGTAGGGTCGATGAGCATCGATTGTCTCGGCATCCTGAACGACCTTTCTGACTGCGAAGACAAGCTCTTTCCAGTTGGATATCAGTAAGTGGAAGCCACTCCTGTCTCCCAAGCTCTTTCGGGAAGAGGGGAGGAGGGCAGGGCTGGTTGGCTGGCCTGATTCCCCACAAGAAATGGACAAAGAACTTTTTTGATTCCTTATTATTGTTCATTGTTCATTTTTAATTTGATTATGAAATACGAGGTAGTTCTCATTTTGTGACCACAATTGCAATTGGCAGCTTGGTAATTAAGTGAAGCACAGCTATGTTTAAGGCCTTACTTCAGCTTTCATTTGCTTTACAGACCTGCAAAGGTTGTAAATGCAAGGATTGGTTGTAAAGTTATTCATTACCATCACAATTTCAAATGATTGTAAACAAGGCAGTTGCTGCCTTCCTTTAGAGTGAACACTTTTAACGTACGGCATCCATATGCTAAATCCCTTTCCTGCCCTGCACATATTTTTTACAATGTGCGCAGCAGAAGCTCTTCCTTACACGTCCCTGTGTTGCGAGCGAGCAGCAGCCGTTGCAAAAGGGACTCTGCCCCGAATACTCCGGCTAGGCGCTTCTTGTCGTCCTCTGCGCTTGAGATTCCAGCCGCCGTAACACAACAACATTAAACAAAGAGCAGGAAAAATCATCACACAGTCATTGAAAGAAAAGGAGCTTGAGTTATTCTATTTTAGTAACATTACTTACTTTTATAGTCAATATAAATTAAATGAATTCACATGAAAAATTAAATTTGAGACAGGATCATTTAAAATTATTTTGTTTTTGTTTCCTTTTTCCAAAACCTCCCTTTTTCTGTGGCTTCAACATTTCCAGAAAAATTACGTTATTGTCCCAGCACTTACCTGACGTCTGTCCTGTTTGTGCAGGTGCTCCCGGGTTTACTGGAGCACAACGGATGCTCGAAAACGTTGTGTTTACACCTGCAAGATCATGGAATGCCGTCCTCCTCTCCTAGACTCTGACGTCAACAGCACCATGGAACATGATGACAACCGGACCATTGTCCACAGCCCAGTGTCCCTTTCAGGTGTGGGGCAGCAGAAGAGGGCAGCCTTGTCTTCCCTGGGCCCAGTTCCTTTCCAGGAGCTGCCTTTGGAGTGGGGGCCGAGAGGTTCCCCTGCAGAAATTCCCCTCCAGAGGGAGGCAGGAAGGGGCTGAGTGCTCAGTGTGGCTTCCTCTAGAAACTGGCACTTAAGACATGCCTCCTTTCGGAGTTGAGTCTCCTTTGCCTACTGGAGAACAGAAGGGCAGGCGGAATTTCTCAGAAATGTCACTGGAGCAATATTTCTCTCGTGAAATCCTCCCTCCCAACATTTTCCTCCCTCCTAGTTGATTTCCCTTTCCTATGGAAATAGAAGTTACTGAGGAGAAATGATTCTTTTTGATCTTTTCCCCCTGAAATTGTTCAAATAGGTTTTGATTTTAATTTAGATTTAGATAAAATTTTAATGTAGATGGTCCCGTTTTTCTCCTGCAGCAGAAATTCCACCCAGAGATGGTCATGTGGCATCAGCTGAGCTAAACCCTCCCTCGGCAGATCTTCCTCCACATCCTCAGAACTTCAAGGCTCTGCGCATCAGAATGCCGAGTTTTGCTCCTTCCCAGCGAACTCCGGGTTCGAGGCCATTGCCTTCTGCAGGTCTGGCTCACGACTCTTTTTCTGTGACGGCTTTTGACTTAACTACAGCTTGAGAATATGGAATGTTTCTTTTTCTTACTTAAAAACTATATCCAGACATTTATTTATTTAATTTAAATACCTTAAAAAGTATTTCCAGATAAGACTAACCTAGCCCTGTTGTAACTTAAAGCCTGGCAGAAATTTTGTTCCCTTTCCTGGTGTGTCATTTTGAGACAAAGCCCATCTCTCTCTGCCTTCCGAGGTCAAAAGCAGAACTGAGCTAGGGACAAGGAGCGCTTGGCCCTGGGGATGAGGTTTCTTTGAGGTTCGTTGTGTTCAATTTTCTTCTTAAATTATCTCTCCCTAGGAAGCCCCACCCCTGTGACACATGAGATCGTAACCGTGGGAGATCCTCTCTTATCCTCTGGACTTCGAAGCATTGGCTCCCGGAGGCCCAGCGCATCTCTGTTTCCACAGCCAGTGAGGTCTTGGACGCTGCCTCCCACCAGAGTTGGGGCCACTAACGCTCAGCACAGCACCGTCTCTCCAGGAGCCAGCAGGAGTCCCGTCCCAGAGCACAGTGTGAGCATCAAACATACCGAACGCTCTGTGGGACCAGCAGCCTCGCACGTCGCTCTCCAGGACACCTTGGACCCTCCCAGTCCGGCCATCCTAAGCGGAGGCAGAGGGGCTTCTGCATGGGAGGGAACCCTCTCCTTTGACACCGGGCCTTCCGGGGGGCCCTTTTCTGCCAAATTAGAGAAAGGGAAGCTGCTGAGCCCCAAAGATCCGAGTGCTTCCTGTGGGAATCCAAAAACAGGCCCCCTTGGAGAAAGCCTCTCTGGCCCAGATGGAAACCCAAGCAAGGGAGGGAAGTTCCTAGAGTCCCCCTCTGGGCTCTTCTCCCCCAAAGAACCCGTAGCTTCTGCACTGCTGCTTCAGAACCCCCCAAAGAAGGAGAAAGACCAGCATCTGACACAGACAGACACGGACTGCTTTTATGAAGCCCCGGAAGCAAAGACCTCGCCCTTTTCAAGGAGCCGATCTCCGTGCACAAACGATCCGGCACCTTCTGTGGGGAGAGAGAGGAGAGGAAAACTAAAGAAGGGGGCAAAAGAGAGACATTCTAGTAAGCTTTTTAGAAGTTTAAGCATCCTCCCAAGCAGCCACAAAGAATGCGTGGAGGCAGAATTGGTTCATCGGGCAATGACCTCTGGACATATGCAGCAGCAGCCGCAGCAGCAGCCACAATATAACAGCGTTGCTGTTGAGAAACTCATTGACCATAACCTGCTTGGCCAGGAGGCATCCAAAGCTGCTTTCCAGAGCGAAATGGCCACCTCCAAGGATTTGCAGAATTCGCAGAAGCGCACAGTAAAAGTAACCCTGACTCCACTCAAGATGGAAGGTGAGAACCAGTCCAAAACTCTTCCGAGAGAACACGGTGCGGAATCTCAGCCAGGGGTTTGCACATCGGTGCCGCAACCGGCTTCCATTCCGGAGCGCTCGGGAAATGACTGCATGGTCCCAGAAACTCAAAGCTGTGCTTCCTCCTCAGTGGCCCCAAGTGACCCCCCTTATCCAAACCTTCCTGTCCAGGACAGCAGCTTGATGATTCAGGACGGAGCCAAAGAACCGGAAGATGGGTCCTACAAGCGGCGATACCCTCGGCGTAGTGCCCGTGCCAGATCCAACATGTTTTTTGGTCTGACCCCTTTGTACGGCGTGAGGTCCTACGGTGAGGAAGACCTTCCCTTCTACAGCAACTCCACTGGCAAGAAGAGAGGCCGGCGGTCAGCTGAAGGCCAAGTGGACGGGGCTGATGACCTCAGCACGTCGGACGAAGAGGACCTGTATTACTACAACTTCACCCGGACGGTTGTCTCCAGCTCAGATGAGCACATGGCTTCTCATAGTTTGTTCCGTGAAGAGGAGCAGATCAGTCTCCCCAAAATCTCTCAGCTGGACGGGGTGGACGATGGAACGGAAAGTGATGCAAGCGTCACAGTAACGACGAGGAAAATCAATTCAGGAAGCAAAAGGAGCGGCAAAGAAAATGGAACGGAAAGCTTAAAACTCGAACGAAGCGAAGACAGTGGGGAGAAAATGCAAGTGACCAAGAGTTCAGTTGGCCATAAAACAGCTGATCCCAAAATGGAGAATTGCCGGGTCAAAACTCAAGATCCTTTGGAAGCTCAGCTGAGCTCCCTGGAAGCTGTCGGCCGGCGTCCGCGTGCCAACACGGAGCCCTCGGAGAAGAACCTGCTGGACACCTTCAGCACAGAACTGCTGAAGTCCGACTCCGACAATAACAACAGCGACGATTGTGGGAACATCCTTCCTTCGGACATCATGGACTTTGTTCTCAAAAACACCCCCTCGATGCAGGCCCTGGGGGAGAGCCCGGAGTCCTCGTCCTCGGAGCTGCTGACTCTGGGAGAAGGCCTGGGCCTCGACAGCAATCGGGGCAAAGACATGGCTCTCTTCGAAGTCTTTTCCCAGCAGCTGCCGACAGCCGAGCCGGTGGACAGCAGCGTCTCCTCTTCCATTTCGGCCGAGGAGCAATTTGAGCTGCCCTTGGAGTTGCCTTCCGATCTCTCGGTCTTGACTACCCGGAGCCCCACAGTCCCCAGTCAGAACCACAGCAGACTTGCAGTCATTCCAGAACCTTCCCTCGCCACCTCGGGGGAGGGATCCATGTTGACCCTCCCTTCTTCAGACCCTGCTGAGAAGAGAGGGGCGGTCGCAGAAAAGGCCTCCTCCGGTGAAGCAGAGCCAGCATTGCTCAGCCCGCGAGTGGCCCCAAGCCCCCAGGGCCCTCTGACCCCTGACCCTTTCATACAGAGCCACCTGGAAGCAGAGCACATGGGCAGCCCGCCCTGTGGACCAAGGGAAGATATGGCCGGTGGCGGCGGCAGCAGCGGGACCCCCGGCCTCCCCGTTTCTCCCTCCCTCCCGCTCCAGAATCCCAAGTACGGGCCAAGTGGCCCCGACAAGCCCGGCCCGTCGCCCATCTCAAACGCTGCCGTGCAGACGGCCCCTCTCCACTTGAAGGCTGCTGCGGAGAAGCTCCTGGTGGTCAACCAGAACATGCAGCCTCTGTACGTCCTCCAGACGCTGCCCAACGGCCTCACCCAAAAGATTCAGCTGACTTCTCCCATCAGTTCCGGGCCGGCCGGCATGGAGGCCGGGGCTTCTGTGCTGGGCCCCATGGACACGGCCAGCCTGGCCCTGGCTGCAGGCCTCAGCCCCGGCTTACCCTCCACCAGGCCCCTCTTCCCTGCGGCCAGCAAAGGCCTGCTGCCCATGCCTCAGCAGCACCAGCACCTGCATTCCTTTTCGGCCAGCCCCTCCAGCGGCACCGGCAGCTTCCCGGCAGCCCTCGGCAGCCCCGCCTCAAGCCTTCTGATCGGGGTCCAGCAGCTGCCCGACCCTGAGGCGAACACAATGGCGGATGTTGGGCCTGCGGTCACACCCCCTCCCACCGGCCTCGGCAAGAAGCGGCCCATTGCGCGCCTGCCAAGAAGGGCCAAGAAGTCGGCTGCTCCTTCTGCCGCGGCTTCGTCGGACCTGGCCACAATGAACTTCCCTCGGTCCTCCCCGCCTGGCCACCCAGGCCTGCTTGATCTGGGAGCCGCCTGTCCCCGCACCGTGCCCAGCCTGGTCAAGCGCTCCAAGCCAGGGGTCATGTACTTTGAGCCCCTGTTGCCTCCGGAGGCGGCTGCTACAGAGGCAGCCCTTGGAGCCTCTCCCAGCGTAGCTTCTCCTCCCCCCGGGCGGAAGGCGGCCCCGCTGCCAGCCCCTACCCCCGGCCCAGCGGTCCCGCCCCACCTGTTGGGACAAGGAGGCTCTGAGGTGCCGAGCGTTTCGGACATGAGCTCCCTCGGCAGCCTGTTGATCAAAGCCACGCGAGAAGGGCTCAGCCTCCCGGAGCAGCCCGCTTCAGCACCGCCGCCAGCGCCCAGGATGTTTCTGTCGCATAAGGAGGTTTCGTTGGCCCAGTCTGCCTCTGCGGGGCCAGCGGCTGCCCTCGCCACCGGCCTCTCTGTCTTGCCTCCCCCGAAGGCCGTGGGCACGTCTGCCGATCCTGGAAGCGCCTGCCAGTCTGAGCCTCTCACTCAGCTCCTGGCTTGCAAGGCTGGGCCGCCCCCCGCTCACCTGGACCTGCCCCCCTCCCAGGGAGCTCCCCTTTCAGACTTCCCCCAGCCGATGGATGCGGCAGCCGCGGGGCGAAACAGATCGTCCCCCTGCGTCCCCACAGCCTCTTCCGGGAGCTCCCCTTCCACCGTGCTGGGCTCCACCAGGGCCCGATCCAAAGTCAAGCGCTTGCCGACCCCTGTGGGCAGCAAAGGATCCGGGAAGAAGCCCAGGGCGCCTCCATTCTGGAACAGCTTCCCTGGCCAATGCGTCCCACCACAAGGCACGAGGGTGGCAGCCCAGGACCCACAAGGCGGAGGGTGAGAGAGAGAGCTACGGCCCTGACTTCCCCCCACCCCCACCCCTTTCCAGCCAAGCCCCTCAGTGTTTCTGGGGTGCTGGCTGCCCGCTGGCTGAGAGGCGGCTCCCCTCTGCCCTAATGCCGGACCAACAGGGAGGGGGTGGGGGAGGGGCGGCGGTTGGTTCGGGCTGCTTTGGGGGGTTCTAAAGGCGCCACCGGGTGCTCTTGCCAGAGTTTGCCGTAGAATTGGCCTCTCCCCGGCCTGGGGAAAGTCTCACAGTTCAGTGGGGCTGCGTTTACGGTAAGCCCGACTTCCAAGCTCTGCTTTGCCTGCCCGTGTCGTCTCCTAGGCCCCAGCCGCCCCGGGTGCAGCCAGAGGAGGCCACAGACGTCCTGCAACCAGCCCACAAACCAGCAGGGTAAGTGGGTCTTTTGGGACCAAGCCTGGTGGGGGGGGAGGAAGCGCCCAAGGCCATCCGCACCCCCCCACCAGCCTTCTTGGGTGTCTCCCACTGTGCCAAAGACGCCAGTGGAAATTGAGTGGGTTCCAAAACACCCAGGGAAACGGAGCTCCAGTTCTCGCTTTAGAAACATTTGCTGAGGCTTCAGCACCATAGAATCTCTGGCGCTTCTTGAGGCCTCAGAAGTGCGGGTGACGGTTGCGGCCAAAGGGCTTCGGTTGCAAATCTGCTCTCCCATCAAACACGGGGGGGCCTCCCAGAAAACTTTTCAAACCTCACCGTGTGCCTGTCAAGCGGCTGACCTGAGCGGAGGCAGCCGTCTCGGTTGCGTTGAAGGTGCAGCTGAAATGGTCCTCTCGGCCTTTTCCTCCTCCTCCTCCTCCTCTCCGCAGGCCTCAGCAGCCCCAGCCACAAGCTCAGCCAACCCCGCCCGCCTCCAACGAGTCAGAGCGCGCAGGTACGTGGTGAGGGCAGGCGTCCTTTGCCCTGCCTGAGAACTGCGGGACGTGGAGGTCCGTATGTCGCGGTCCTGCTTTGCTGCTGTCAAATGTCCGGGAACTTTTCTTGGAACGTCTTCCGTTTGGCCGCGGATGATTTGCGTGGCCGAGGCGTCAGGAGGGCTCCTTTTTTCCCTCCAGATTCCAATGCTGAGGAGGAGGAGGAGGAGGAGGAGGAGGAAGGCAGCTTCAGCTCTCCCCTCATGTTCTGGCTGCAGCAGGAGCGGAAGCGGAAAGAAAGCCTTGCGGAGAGGAGGCCCCGGAAAGGGCTGGTCTTTGAGATCTCCAGTGACGATGGCTTCCAGATCTGTGCGGAGAGTATTGAAGGTGGGCCCAGGAGCATCCAGGGGGTTGGTCGACACCGTTGAATGTGTCCTCCTCCTCCTCCTAAATGCCGCCTTCTCCCCTTCTCCCCTTAGAAGCCTGGAAGTCCTTGACAGACAAGGTCCAAGAAGCTCGGTCGAACGCCCGCCTGAAGCAGCTTTCCTTCGCAGGTACCAGCAGCGGGGGGGGGAGGGGGCGGGGGGGACACCGAGAGGGCAAGGCTCCGTTTGCTGCGCTCGACTCCCTCCCCGTGCAGAAGAGCCCTTGCTCTGTTTCCCAGAGGGCGGGAGCAGCCTCTCCAGCCCTTGGGCCTCTGCTCTGCTCTCCCTCTTCCAGGTGTGAGTGGGCTGCAGATGCTGGGCATTCTCCACCACGCGGTTGTGTTCCTGATAGAGCAACTCTGTGGAGCCAAGCATTGCTCCAACTACAAGTTCAGGTTCCACCAGCCAGAGGAGGCCAAGGAGCCTCCCGTGAACCCCCACGGCTCTGCCAGGGCTGAAGGGCACCTCAGGCAAGTGGAGTGCTGCTCCTTCCCTTTTCCTCCCCAAGGCGGCAGAAGCCTCGGGGCCTCGCAGGGAGAGAGGGAAGCGTAAAGCAGCACCCTTTCTCCAAGATGTGGGGGGGGGGGCACAGCATGCTTCCCCCCAAAAGCCTTGTTCTCCGCTTGCCTCTCTTTGTTCAAAAGTTCTTCATGTGTTGTATTTTATCCCATTTTCCAGACCATTACAGTCCTCCACAGGGGCTCAGAGCCGCTAAAGGAGAAAGGCTGGCAACCTCAAAGACGAGAGGCGCAAGGGGGGGGGGCAGGGAATGGGCTCTTTGAGGCCAGAGCAAAGGGGGGGGGGGCATGAGGCATTTTGGCCAGGCCAGCCTTCCTTTGCTGCTCTCCTTCTCTGGGCTGGAGCATAGCTGGGGATCCTGCTGTCGTGGCACTCGATGTAATGCGTAATGCCTCTCCTCTGCACTGCAGGAAGTCTGGTCTTGACATGTTCAACTTTCTGGCTTCTAAACATCGCCAGCCCCCACAGTACCATCCCAACGATGAGGAGGAAGAGGAGGTGCAGCTGAAATCTGCCCGGTACGTAGCAGGAGGGAAAAGCTGTCAGGCTGTGGCTCATTGCAGATGGGAGGAGGGGGATTCCTGAGCCTGAGCTGTAGGCCACAGTGGATGGAGGTAGATCCTAAAGAAGCTGGGGGGGGGGGAAGCGGCCTGTCAGGCTTCACGGAGGAGGTTTGGGGCTGCCTCAGACGCTCAGGTTGAAGAAGACGTCAGGGCTCGTGCCAGCCCTCAAGCCGGCTCTTCCTCCTCTGTCTTCAGGAGGGCAACCAGCATGGATCTTCCGATGCCCATGCGCTTCCGACACTTGAGGAAGACCTCCAAGGAGGCGGTTGGGGTTTACAGGCAAGTGGAAGTTGGGACAGAAAAGGGCTGGGGAGAAGGAACCTCGGGAACCAGCCCTGGGGGAGCTTGTGGCATTTTTGGAGATGTCGGAAGGCAGGCTGGCTTGCCAGATGCCCCCAGGAACAAAGCGAGGCTTGCCAGCCTTGTGTCTTCTGCCATCCTGCCAGGTCTCCTATCCACGGACGGGGCCTCTTCTGCAAAAGGAACATTGATGCAGGGGAGATGGTGATCGAATATGCTGGCAACGTGATTCGCTCCATATTAACTGACAAACGCGAGAAATATTACGACAGCAAGGTGAGTTTTACTTGAGGAACAGTTGCCCAGCTCTGTAGGCTGCGGGAGTGGTGGGTTGGTCTGGCTTTGGTAGGACTGCCCCATCTGGCCGGGCAGGTGGCTCTGGAGATCTCACCGCCGTCACACACGCTCTCTGTCCCGCAGGGCATCGGCTGCTACATGTTCCGTATCGATGACTCAGAGGTTGTGGACGCCACCATGCATGGGAACGCAGCACGCTTCATCAACCATTCCTGCGAGCCCAACTGCTACTCCCGAGTCATCAACATCGATGGGCAGAAGCACATCGTCATCTTCGCTGTGCGCAAGATCTACCGTGGCGAAGAGCTGACCTATGATTACAAGTTTCCCATTGAAGACGCCAGCAACAAGCTGCTCTGCAATTGCGGTGCCAAGAAGTGCCGGCGTTTCCTCAACTGAGCGGTCGAGCTGAGCCACCGCAGTGGCCACAGGAGGCTCAGGTGCTGGTGCCCCTCAAGCAGCCACAGATACGTTGGCTTCATCTGGCATGCCCTGCGCAGAGCGAAGGTGGACTTTGGTGTGCTGTGGGACTGAGAAAATGGGAACGTGGGCTGTGCCGAGCCGGCACGAGCGCCTGGTTGCCTCTTCACGTTTGGAATGTGCGCCCTGCCCTCATGTTCCAGCTTGGGCTGGCGGCTGAGCAGCGGTTCTCCCAAATCCCTGTGGCCAGTGAGGAGGAATCCCAAGGCAGCAGCTTGGCTGGGCAGATCTCTGGATGGGCTTTCAGGAGGAGAAGCAGACCTTCAGAGGAGGAGGAGGAGGAGCTTCTGTCCCAGAGAGCCTCCGCCTCCCCCACTGAACATGGGCAGCTCAGCCCCACCGGCCCCCCCGTCTCAGAAGTGCAGTGGCCCCCAAAGTCCGAGCACAGCCTGTTTTGTGCAAAGCGCTGGTCAGTGTGGCTGGAGCTGCTCTGGGAGTGCAAAGGAGGGGAGGGAGGCTGGACTTTGTGGAATCCATTTCCCCCTTTCAGGCCTCCAGAAAGAGCCTCCTTCAGTTGCACCATCTCGAATTAAGTCTTTGGATTTTCCTTGGTTCTGTTTACATTTTAGTATTTAAAAGTTTTATAAATGTAAATATATTTTGTATATTTTTCTATGAGCAGCACTTCATAGGAAAGAGCACTTAGGAGACTATTTTTTCAGTCATGGTTGCTTCTTGACTTTAAAAAGAATCCATTTTAAGGGTGAATGTTTTATTTTTAATAGGATGCTCTTTCCCAGGTTGGTTCAGGCACGTCCAGCCTCTCCCTCAGGAGGGGAAGGAGAGTTTTCTGGGTGCTGCTTCGGCTGCCCCTTCAGGCGCCTCCTCCCATTTTTAGGGGAGGATGGAACCGTTTGGTGGGTCTTCCGTTCTCCAGCAGTCAAGTGGTCGACCGGCTCTCCCTGGACGTTAAGCTTCCCTCCCTCTCCGGCCTCACTTCCGGCCAGCTTCTCCCCAGGCTCCGCCCTGGTCTCTCTTGCTCTGGAGACGAGGCAGCTCAAGGCAGATGATGCACATCTCTCTCAGGGGAGCAAAGCCCACTCACCCCTCTCCTGGGAAGGAGGAGTGGGGGCTCCTGACCGTCACCTTTGCTGTCCCAAGCTGGCCAGACCTTCGTACCCCTAGGGGGCATTTGGGGAGAAAGAGGCAGGCGCCAGGTGGGCTTAAAAGGAAGAGGCAGTTGCTGCCTAAAGCTGCTCTTTCCGTCTCGGCTGCTAGAAGAGTCCGCCCTTTCCTCGGAAGGCTCCGGATTTCGTCTCAAGCTTTGGTTGGGCCCCCTTCACAGGCATCTCCTCCTCCTCCTCCTCCTCCTCCTGCTGCTGTTGCTAATCTGGCTGTCCTGAGCAGTAGCGGAGCTGCTTTGGGCTGCTCTGAACCCCAGAATGCCGCTGCCGCTGCACCTGAGAGGGAGGCTGGGCAGAGGCTGCCCCTCCGGAGCGGCAAGGAGAAGAAGGGAGCAAAAGGAAGCTGGGCTGGGCAGCTTCCTGGAAATATGAATGTATCTCTCTAAGAACTGACAGATCGTGAGATCGAAGAATACTAAGTCAGTCCACCCTTTAAAGGTTTTATTTTTTTTAAAGGAAAAGCGGGTCACTGCAAAGGGCTGGGCAGGAATCTTCTCTTCTTTGTTGTGAAGCAATACCAGGTTTTCAGTCAAATTCATCCTCTGCGCAGAATCATGTCATTTGGCCAGGTTGTTGCTGGCTCATCTCCTGCTCTCTCTCTCTCTCTCTTCCCCCCCCCCCAAAAAAAGCCTGCAAGTTTTTATGACTATAAATAAGGTATCTATAGGACTAATATTGTACTGCATTGTGTCTTGAAGCCTGGCTTTGAATTCTCTTTAACCCTTTAGGTAATGGTTGTGTCCCAGTTGCTGAAAAGGCAGGAAAAGCAACACGCCAAGGGCTCCACGGGCAGCGGAGGCCGCCCCCACTGCACCCGGCTCCGACTGCAGGGCGGGGTGGGGGCTCTGTGCAGACCTCCTGGAAGTAAGGCTGGGGACTTGGCTGCTGTGGATACTCCTGACCTTCTTCTGTGTTTAATAGTCAATCCTTGTACAACTTGCTTCTCTCCTCCGCCTCTTCCTCTTTCGGGATTCCAGTTGGTGGAGCTCCTCGCCTGCCTTGTGCGCTTTCTGGTCTCTTAATAAGGTCTTGCAGCTTCACCTTCCCGCCAAGCACCGTGCCCGTGGTGTCTCTTGGATCCAGCGTCTTCAGTAGCTACAGGTAGTGAATAAATGTCTCAAGCCACTTTGCAAAAGCTACATAAACAGGGCTCTCTGGTCCGTACAAAAAGCAACTTATCATGTAAAACCAATTTTGTCTTTTTTTCTTGTGTTCTTCCAAAATGAATTTTTTTTTTCTTTAAAAAGAGGAAATGTGTTGCTTGTGCTGCATCAGTGTTAATTCCCTGTCATTGTTACAGGGATGAAGGAAGTACTTTCAATAGTTTTAAGAAATGACTGAAAGACTGAATGTAAAAATAAGTGTATATAGTTGTACAAAAAAAGGAGTTTTTAAACATGTTTATTTTCTATGCACTTTTTTATTTAAGTGATAGTTTAATTAATAAACATGTCAAGTTTATTGCTTCAAAGGATGGGGTTTCTTTTGATCGGGGCTGAGATTTTTCCCAGGCTGCCAGTCTGTGGTTCTCCACGCGAGGCAGCCATTGACATCCCAATTCTGCATTCCAGTATCTTTGCTGGTCGGGCCCAGGGGACTCCAGGGGCCGCATGCCCAAAACAAGGGAATGTGCAAAACTCCCCAGCCCTGCTCCCCCCCCCCCCCGAGAGAGCAAGGGAGCGACTTGGTTGAGCCTTTGCCTTCTTCCCCTCGGGGGCATTTTCTCACAGGAAGCGATAAAGCCCCGTTGAATCCATCTCAGCCTCGCTTGGTCCAGCAGATGAACCAATGTGGAAAACGGACAGATTTTTGTCCTTTTCCTGCCACTCAGCCAAAATGCCTGTTTCTACTCTCTCTTGCTGATGGAAGAACTCTTCGCAATATTCTCAATAACAAAGGATGTGTTTGTACTCAGTAGTAGAGGTAAAGGTTCCCCTTGCACATATGCGCTAGTTGTTCCGTACTCTAGGGGGCGATGCTTATCTCCGTTTCAAAGCCGAAGAGCCAGCGCTGTCCGAAGACGTCTCCGTGGTCATGTGGCTGGCATGACTAAACGCTGAAGGCGCACAGAACACTGTTACCTTCCCACCAAAGGTGCTTCCTATTTTTCTACTTGCATTTTTACATGCTTTCGAACTGCTAGGTTGGCAGAAGCTGGGATAAGTAATGGGAGCTCACTCCGTTACGCGCCACTAGGAATTCGAACCGCCGAACTGCCAGCCTTTCTGATCCAACAAGTTCTGCGTCTTAGCCACTGAGCCACCGCGTCCCTCGTACTCAGTAATACCTAAGAGTTATTATTCATAACGATCAACCAATCATACAATTGAAAGCCAGAAGGTAAAGCCCGTCAATTTGGCCACCTATTAACGGTCCTTCTGGGAATCGCACTGTACTTGGCCCCTGCTATCCTCTGTGGCTCCCCAAAGTCACACAAGTCAGATGGGTGTCTCCATCTCTGCTGCTCCTGGGCAAGAGGGACTGGCAAGTGTACCTACCTTCCAACAAAATCTTCAAGGCCGCTTATAATAAAATGGCAGCAGGGCCTTCCTCCCGGCCGCCACTCTCGGGGCACCTGACAGGGCCACTGCAGCAGCATTTGATGGGCCAGGGGAGTCGGGAGAGGAGAAAACCTCCCCATTTGAACTGGCTCGTCAGGCCCAAAGGCCTGGGGGTTGGATGCCGACCCCTTGCTCTCCGCACAGGCTGGATTAATGCAATATTTCCCGTACCAGGAAGACCCCTCCTCCTCTAGAGTCGGATGGCCCATCTACTAGCCCCACGCTTCCTGTTCAGCAGGTTTGTCTGAGATGGAGTCCCGTCTCCACCCAGTTCCCCTCCTGTGCAGCCTCGGTCCTGCTCTTTCTGGCCTCCCCATCTCGTCTCTGTGCAAATATGCTCAGGAGAAGGGGGGCCAGGGCTCCAACTCCCACTTCGGCCGTAGCTGCCTCTCACTGCCTTCTGCACTGTAGGAGGCCGGCGGGCACGCCCCTGCCCTTCCCTCGTGGCCATTGGCTGCTGCTGGGCCGGCCCCTTCCTCCCCAGCCAGAGCATTCGAGATTTTGAAGTGGCCCAATCCTCCCCACAGAACTCACCAGGGTTTCAACATGGTCACCATCAAGGATCGGGCAGTTTTGCAAACTATTTTCCACCCAAATGTTCCCTTTGATGAAGATTACCAGGAGGAGCCCGGGAAGCAACAAGCAATTCAAGGTGATGACTCACTTCCAGCGCAGGGGTGTGTGTGTGTGGGGGGGTGTTTTCACAAACTTCCGAGGCTTCCATCTTTGCAAGCTCTCAGGAGGGAGGAGATGCCTCCAATCTCTGGGCTCACAACAGATTCCTTAACCTGTTTCTCACAAACCATTTCCCAATCAGTCGCTTGAAAGGGCTGGTCGGCAGAGAAATTTTGCCCATCCTCCTCCAGGGAGGAGAACGTTGGCAAGCTGCTTTCAGACACTCGGCCACCTTTGTTCATGCTTCAAAGCGCCGCCGTGAGGCTGTAGGGCTCAGGGCTTAACCTGTACTTCCTTCCCATTGAAGGGCAGCCCACCTTTCAGAAGGCCAGCCGAGTGGCCATCAAGGGGGTGGGGGAGGCAAGGCTGCCTCCACAGAGGACTTGCTTGGGACCCATTCTTTCTGGGGTGGCATTGGCATCTGGCTGGCTCTCAAGATTATTAGTTGCCAGAGCTGGCCCCCTTTTTCCTGCTGCTCTCTCTGGTGACAGAAGGCGGCTTTGATCCTGAGCTGCTGAGGCAAGCCACTCATCTGGAGGCCCAGGGAATAGCAGCAGCCGAAGGCGGAGACCTGGGCCTGGCCCTGGAAAAATTGAGCCAAGCCATCCAGCTGCTTCCAGCGCGAGCCTCGGCCTTCAACAACCGTGCACAAGCTCTTCGGCTCAAAGGGGACGTCGCAAGTGAGTGCACTCAGGGCTCCAACCCTCCTCCCCTCCCTCCACTGGAGACCATGGCTGTCCTCCCCTGGGGTAGGGAGGGACGGGGGGCACCCAGGCAGGGCATCTGGTTCAGCCCAGGGCAAAACCATCGCTTTGTATCCGCTAGGGTCTCTTCACCTTAAGCAGAGCATTCGTGGGTTTTGTTGCGTCCGTGAGCAAAATTGCCAGCAGCTGTTCCAGAAGTAGAAGGTCTTTTTGCCAGAGGGGTTTCCATCCATTGGGACAACCGGTCATACAGACACGGCAGGTGGCTGGGGTGCCTGCTGAACATCCACTCTCCCCGTTTGATCCTGCTCCTTTTCCGATACCCAAATCAATAGGACTCACAATTAGGTCAAAAAGAAAGGAGCCAAAACCTCATAGGCACCTAGGGTAGAAAAGCAGGGACCATCCCATGTCCCCTGGCCAGGCCCATCCCTCCCTCCCTCCAGCCCAAGCTGCTGGAAATGGGACAAGGGTGCAGAGGGCAGCTCCTCCTCCTCCTCCGCCGTTGAGGGCTCCGGTTTCCTGGAGCCCACAGAAAAGGTTTACACAAGGCACTGACCCGACAGTTATTTAACTAACTTGGCCCCGCGTTCTTTTCCCATCCCATCAGAGGCGCTGGAAGACTTGGAGGCAGCCCTGAAACTCAGCAGAGGGGCTGGGCCGGTGGCACGCCAAGGTTTTGTACAACGCGGGCTGATCCAGCGGTTGCAAGGCGAGGACGAAGCGGCCCGGAGCAGCTTTGAGCAGGCGGCCGCCCTGGGCAGCAGCTTTGCCCGCCGACAGCTGGCGCTGATGAACCCTTACGCAGCGCTCTGCAACCAGATGTTGTCGGAAGTGATGAGGAAGGCTCACCCGAAAGGGGCGAAGGAGGCTTGCTGAGCCTGACGTTTTGGGGGGAGGGGGGTGCGAAGGGGCAGCTGAATAAAACCCACGGCTTGAGACGCGAACCAAGGTCTGCTTTTGTCGCCCCAGTCCCCGGTCAGCAGTTCCGGGCACAGCAGCCCCCTCCGAAGGAGGCAGGGAGGGAAGAAGCCCCCGCTGGGCACGGCTTTTTCAGGTGGCATCTCTCGGTCCCCAAGGCGGGTGGCGGCGGCGGTGGTGGTATTCGGGCAGGATCGCGAGCCTTCGGACCGAGAAATCCAGGTCGGGATTTCTGACGTGCCGCTCGGCTGCAAAACGCTGCAGCCGCATCCCGGAGGTGACCGGCCTGCGGTGCTCCGGCCCTTTCCGCCTCGCCGCGCAGCTCAGGATGGAGGCGGCTCAGTGCCGCGCAGCGCCAGGCGCCCCACCCCCCGGGCTCTGCTTGCAGTCCCCGGGGCATCGCCTCCGGTCCCCCCGACGGCGCCGGAGAGGCTGCTCGGCGCCCGGAGACCCCCCGGCCGCGCCGTTGCAGCTGCTGCTGCTGCTGCCGTTCTTACTGCAGCGCGCCATGCCAGGTAGGGCGGCGGAAGGCACGCTTTTCTCTGGCGGGCCACGGCTCCCCCCGGCCGGTAACCTCCGCTCCGCTCCGCCGCAGGCGCGGTGGCGACACGGGAGACCAGGATCGACGGGCGGGCTCTGTCGCTGAGCAGCTTGCGGGAGGCCGAGAGCCGCGCCTTCACCTGCCTGGCCGCGGCCCCCAACCTCACCTGGTACCTCAACGGGGAGCGGCAGGAGAGCAACGCATCCGGGAGGCCCCTGGTCGCCGCCGGCGACGCCTCGGAGGAGGGCGCCAGCGGCACTTTCGTGGTGACGGCGCGGCGCGTGGACCACCGGCTGGACTGCGCCGCCACCGACCCGGCCACGGGGCACGTCTCCACCGCCTCGGTTCTCCTCAACGTGCAGTGTGAGCATGGGCGGGCGGGCGGATGCGGGGGGGGGGGGCTCCGGAGGGAAGCGGCGGGATGGAGGCTGACCGGCGCGGCTGCGGCCCTCTGCACCAATGCAGTTCAGCCCGAAATCGTCAAGGTGGACGCCCGTTACAGCGAAGCGAGCGAGCCCGGCCTCCTGCTGGTGCTCTTCGTGCTGGTCCAAGCCAACCCGCCAGCCGACGTGACTTGGGTGGACCAGGACGGGCAGGTGACGGTCAATGCCTCCCGCTTCCTGCTGCTGGACGCCCAGACCTACCCCTGGCTCGCCAACCACACCGTGAGGGTGCAGCTGCACGGCCCGCCCCGGAACGCCTCCCTCCGCGCCTCCAACGACCTGGGCGTCGCCAGCTCCTCCGTTCCGGTGCCCGGTATGTAGAAGGGCTGATGGGAAGGGCCTGGGAGCGGGGCAGGTGCAGAGCCTCCGCCTGGCACAAGGCCTGCCTTCCTGCCCTCTTGGAGGTCTCGGGAGTCCCCAGATGCAAGCCTTCCTTCCCATCGCCCAGAGGGGAGCCTGTCTCCCTGCCAAGCCAGCCCCCCCCCCCCTTATGTATGGCAACCGTCTGCCTCCCAGGCTGCCTTTCCTGCCCTTGGCTTGTAGGAAGCAGACGTTCAGATATTCTTGAATGGCCCTGCCAACCTTCCTCCTCCAAGGCTTCTTCCCAGAGGCCAAAGCAGCTTCCCTGCAGAGAGAGGGAGGCGGCTGGGCCAGGGAGCACCAGCAAGCGGAAGGGCGGCTTGCTTTGCTGGGTGAGGCATCTCTGGCTCCTCCAGGTCTCCTGGCCGTCCAACTTGAACTGCCTCTGGTGGCCCTGGTGGGGGCGGCTGCTGCTGCGGCTCTGGGGATACTCCTGAGTTTTGGGGTGCTGATCAGCTGGACTCTTTCCCAGGCAGCCAAACAATCGGCAGGTAGGTGCAGGAGAAGCCTTTTCAGCCTGGGCTGCCTCCATCTCCTTGCTGGGAGCCTAAGGCCTTCCTTCCTCTCCTTCTCCTTCTTCAGGACAAGGCCCAGCAGCAACGCAGCTCCCTCCGAGGTCGCCTTCTGGGACTACTAGAGGGAGGTAAATGCCCCCGTTTGCTCTGTAGCCTCTTTTGGGAATAGCTTATGCAGAGCTTATGTACCCCCGAGAAGAATGTCAGGCTCAGAGAAAGGTAAACTCCCAAGACCCCCCGTGGCCTGGCCTTGAAGGGGGGCTGGGGGGGCTGGGAGAAGCTCCTTGCTCTGCATTTCCCACAGCAACGTCCTGCAGCCGGAGGAAGCCCACCTGCCACGGGCAAGCAGGTCCCTCCCTTCCAACCTGCAACTCAATGACCTTGCACCAGAACCACAAAGTGAGTGGTGGTGATTGGGGGGGGGGGGCTGGGAAAGGGGCTGGCCTGCCAAGGTCCCTGCTCCAGCCCTCTTTCCTTCGACTCCAAAGGTAGAACAAATGCAGAGCAAGATGGAGATTCTCTTTCGGAGTCAAAAAACCACCGGGACCTTGCTGAACAAGGTAGCAAAACCTTCTGGCATTGGGGGGGTGGGGGGGGTGGGGTGGAGCTGCACCCATTTGGCCAAGCGCCTCTGAGTTTAGTTCTGAAACATAGGAAATGCTGGCATTCAACCCCAAATTAATACATCTAATTCTGTAGCAGAAAAGGCTGTCAAATAGTGAAAACGCTCCCATTTCAAGAGGCCCACCTTGTGCTAGAGAAGACTGCCGTGCGGTCACCACCCCACGGAGTCATGAGACGGGCCAGTTTGTCCTAAGAAGCACTTTAGGGCCTTTCCCCCGCTTTGCTAGTGGGCGGCTCGCCCGGGAAAAAAGGCCAGCGGCTGCATCAGACTTACCTAGCCCAGCTTCCTTTTACCAGCCACCCTGGATGCTTTGGCAAAACGCAATCCTGCCGGGCAAGGGCAGCACCCTTGCTGCCCTCTAGTATTTCAAGCATGCTACCAGAGGAAGGAAGCTGCTTTTGGGAAAGGCACCCAGTTATACCTGCCCGGTTCCTTACTTCACTGCAGCTGAATCTCCTCAGCAGTAAATCATCTCTGTGGGATGATCCTCATGGATAGTTTCAAGGAAACCTTTTAAAAACCCTGCAGAAGTAACTGCTGTGGACCAAATTCTACATCCTCTTTTTCTGTCTCTGCAGGCTTGGGTCAATTTCTTACCGTCGGATATATTTATAGAGCCACTAGTATGAGTAGCGATGAAATCTGGCTGTGAAGACTATCAGCACGTCCACCCGCAGCACAGGGAAGCAAGCGAGGCACGGAGGAGTGTGGGCAAAAGGCACCAGGAGTAGCTCTGCTTTAGCTCACACTGGAACAGGATGGTGAGGGCACCTCTGGTGGCGAAGGCATCCCCAGCAGGATCCGGTCCTGACAGCAGCTGCCCAGTTTCCCCTTCCAAGAGGAGGACGGCCTTCCTAAGCTCCCCTTTGCCATCCACAGACCAGGAAGGCCATCCTGGCCATACGCATCTCAGCTTAGGATGGTCGCTTTGCAACTTCTACGCTCAATGAATAAATGGCTGTAGATAAGATGTTGCCTGTTTCCCCCCTGCCTGGATTTGGCTCCGGGGCTGCTATGAAAAGGACTCTCGGTCCCTGTGGTGTAAAAGTGGCCTAATCAGCACAGTGCCCAGAATGCCAGGCCCAGGCGGGTGGAGGCGGCGTGGGTTGCTTTAAAAGGGGGAGCAGGCTGCTGGACCCGTAAGCCTTGGGCAGCCTTAGCCTAGCTCTGCTTTGCTCCCCAGAGCCCCCAACCCCATGGGCAGCTGTGGCCCAACAAAGAGACGCCAAGCCCTACGTTCCCCAAACTCTCCGCTTGTACACCATCTCTCGAGAGGCAGACTAACACCTACAACAAAACTTTATTACACAAATATTACACTGGATTATCACCTGAGTGAGCAAGGCCAGCAACAACTCCAAGGGAATGGGAGCTGGAGACCTCTCTTAAATGCCCCTCTGAGGTTAACAGCACCATTATTTAAACACGAGGAGGCAGGATGCGGCGACCTTCCCTCTCAGGTGAAGCTTAAAGCATCCGTCTCTCCAGCCTGTGAGGGGGGGTTGGAGGGGGGGCTGGCAACCTTCTTGCCCTCAGCCAAAGCCTTGAAATGCTGCAAAAAAGAAGAAACCACCAATAGGGTGAATCTGATTTCAGCTTCCTGCGGAGACCATTTATTCTCGAGTCTCCTGGTAAAAGCAAGAAGAGAAGACCTTTCAAGCAGGCCCCACCCAGGTGGGTAGCAATGACAGCAGCTCTTTTGCTTACCTGAGAATTTTTGAATTCAGAGTACAATGAGAATAGGGTGTGCAGAGGTTGGATGTGACCCTTGTAGACAGGAACGTCCAGAATGGCTGGAGGAAAACCCCAAAAGAGAAGCTCCAGGTTCAACTTCATCAAGCGGAACCCAGAGACCCTGCCAGGCGCTGGACAGTCCATGAGACGCCTGGTTGCAGAGCCATTTGGTTCAGTATAATTAATCCTTCAGCCAGCATGCTGGGCTCGGGGCCAGGGCACTCACCACAGATGATGTCTGTATACTCAGCTAAGCTGCAGTCAACGTCAGCAGTCGGGAGGCTCACCTGGGGGCGAGAGAGGGAGGCTTAAGGCTGGCTGTGCGCTCTGCATGAAGCCGCTCACGGAAGCCCCAGAGAAACCAGTTATAGAACATGGGGCAGGACTTACCCACTGTGGGGAGCTCACTATACCTTTCCCAGCAGCTCTTCAAACTCCGGAGACCATTCCTGCATCAGCGTATCTATGTCGGGCATCGGCCTGCAAAGGACGAGCAGCCCTGAGAGCCGGCCAACTGGGGGCCCCGTGGGAGCCCTCCCCCATGGGCGGCCCTGCGGGTGTAACGAGGGGAAAATCAGGGATCTCCTCGCGGGACCTCAAGGCAGACCTAGCATAATGGACGGTGGCTGGAGGCTTGCAACGGTGGAGTTCGCTGATGCTCTCGATCCAGCTGTCCACAGCCTTGGGGTTCTTCTCCGCGTTCTCAAGGCTCTTGACTTTCACCTGCTGCTAGAAACACAAACGGGGCCCCCGTCAGCGGCCTGGGCCTGCTGGGCTGGCTTCCTACCCATTTGCTTCCCCCTCCACCTACAGCCACGTTATGCTGCTTTGAGTTCTCGGTGAGCCACAAGGAAAGTACGGTGGGATCCGACTGTTTGGTGGACGGCTCATCCAGCATTAACAAGCCCAGATTATCCGGCTTCCCATCCGGGCGTGGAACCTGCGGGAAATGAGCCACAGCAAGATCTTCTCAAAGGTCCCAAAGGGGCAGAGCAAATCCCCGAGCCCAGTGCTCAGCCTCTCCCCCCCCCCCCACAGGAGGCTCAGCGGCAGGGAAAGGGCTCCAGGGGACAAACGCTCCTCCACCCCCCCCCACAGGGCATTGGGTGGGCAGCACCCAGGCTCCTTGGCACCTTCAAGAAGGCATCGATGTCTCCCACGGCCGGAATGAAGTCCGGGATGAAAGGCTTCAGCTTGTGCTCCAGGTCGATCATTTGGGAAGAATACCTGAGGGGTGGGAGGCGCTGAGTGCGGCTCAGGACCCCCCCCCCGCCTCCCCCCCAGCCCCCCACCCTCACCTCCGGATGTACTGGAACAGCTCCTTCACCTCCAGGGAGACGGGCAGGTAGTCGTAGTCGGCCGAGTTGTAGGCCCTGCGGAGGGGAAAAGCTGAGCCCAGTGCCACCCCCTTCGCCCCGCGACCCCCGCCGCCGCCGCCGCCCCCACGCTACCCCTCCAGCGGGGCGCCGTGCTCGTCGTCCTCATCGTCCTCGTCCTCGTCCGAGTCGGTCTCCGAGGAGTCCTCGTCGTCGTCCTCCACCTCGTGGCCGCTGAAGCGCCGCCCGGAACCCAGCGGGCCGCCGCCGCCGCCCTTCTTTTCGGGCTGCAACAGGGCGCCCGCGGGCCGGTCGGGGGCGGCGACGGGGGCCCAGCCGGGCGCGCGCGGCGGGGTGCTCGCTCCCTTCAGGGCCGCCGGGCCGCCCTCGCCGCCCTCCTCGTCCTCGTCGCTGCTGTCCTTGCAGGAGGGGCGCGCGGGACGCGGACCTGCGGGCGGGGACAACGGCCGCGTCACGGGGGGCGGCGGCGGCGGCGCGCGGCCCCCTCCGGCCCGCCCGTCCCCACCGGGCGCCCACCGGGCTGCGGCGGGCTGGGCGCGTAGATGCTGGCCACGTCCTCCGTCTCGTTCACGTCCAGGCTCTCGTCGTAGGGCTGGTTCTCCACGAGCCGCGTCTAAAGCAAAGAAAATAGAGAAGCGCGAGGGACGGCGGCTCGCCGGCGCCCAGGTCCAGGACGCGCCCCCGGCCCGGCCCCGCACCTGCAGCCCGGACTCGGGCGGCGACGGCGGCGCTCCGCTCATGTTCCGTCGGGGGCCGCGGGAGTGCGGGCCGCGGCGAGTCCGTCGCCAGGCAACGGGAGGCCGGAGTCCTCCTCTCGCGAGAGCCGGCGGCCTTTTCCCCGCCCCCTCGGGCCTACCGCGCCTGCGCGGTCACGCCGCTTCCGCCTGAGATACGTGGCTCGCCGCCATCTTGTGCGGGAGTCGGAAGCAGCGGAGACGCGGCGCCCAGCAGAAGCTCCACGGAGGTCGCCGCCGCCGCCGCCGCCGCCGCCGCCATGGTGAGGCCCGTGCGGGACGCGCCCCTGCCCCGCGGCCAGGAGCCTGCTGGGCCGGGCCGGAGAGGCGGCTGCGGGCCGGCGCCCTCCCCGCGGCGCCTGGCCTCCGGAACCTCCTCTCGAGCGCGGTGGGCCTTCCTGTCTCCCCCCCTCCGCAGGTGCTCCTGGCCGCCGCGGTCTGCACGAAAGCGGGGAAGGCCATCGTGTCGCGCCAGTTCGTGGAGATGACGCGGACGCGCATCGAGGGGCTGCTGGCGGCCTTCCCCAAGCTGATGAACACGGGGAAGCAGCACACCTTCGTGGAGACGGAGAGCGTCCGCTACGTCTACCAGCCGCTGGAGAAGCTCTACATGGTGCTCATCACCACCAAGAACAGCAACATCCTGGAGGACCTGGAGACGCTGCGGCTCTTCTCCCGGGTGGTAAGCCGGCCGGCCGGCGGGCGGGGTGGGGCGGGCGGGGGTCTCGGAGGGAGGGGAGCGGGCAGCCTTTCCCTGAGCGGCCTCCCCCGTCGCTCGCGCAGATCCCCGAGTATTGCCGGGCGCTGGAGGAGAACGAGATCGCCGAGCACTGCTTCGACCTCATCTTCGCCTTCGACGAGATCGTCGCCCTGGGCTACCGGGAGAACGTCAACCTGGCCCAGATCCGGACCTTCACCGAGATGGATTCCCACGAGGAGAAGGTCTTCAGGGCCGTCCGCGAGGTAGGTGGAGGCTCCCCTGGGGAAGGTGGACGCTTCTTTCCTGCTCTGGGCCAAAGCTGTGGCTTCTTCTTTTCAAGACCCAAGAACTGGAGGCCAAGGCTGAGATGCGCCGGAAAGCCAAGGAGCTGCAACAAGCCAGGAGGGATGCCGAGCGGCGGGGCACCAAAGCTCCAGGATTTGGGGGCTTTGGCAACTCAGCCGTATCAGGAGGGACCCTCGCTGCTATGATCACCGAAACCATTATGGAGTCGGAAAAGCCAAAAATAACTCCGGCTCCAACTAGGTCTGTCTTTGGTCTTTTTTTGTTGGGGGGGGGGGGATCGGTTGTGAAAGGCAAATGGGTTGCAAGAGAGGCTTTACGGGAAGTCCTTGACTTACGACCACAATTGAGCTCAAGATTTCTGTTGCTGCGACAGCGGTTGGGTGAACTTTGCCCAATTTTGCGAGCTTTTTGCCCCAGTTGTTAAGTGAATCACTGCAGTTGTTAATTTAGTAATATGGTTGTTAAGTGAATCTAGCTTCCTCCTTGACTTTGCTGTCAGCAGGTCACAAAGGGGGGGGGTGTCACATGACCCTGGGACGCTGCAGCCAGACGTGAACTTTGGACGTGAACTTTGGATGAGGTGACCATCATGAGTGTGGGAAATGGTCATAAACCACTTTTTCCGGTGCCATACCTTTGACCGGTCACTAAATGCACTGAGCTGCGACTATCTGCATTGCTTTGTGGGGGTCGTAATTGTTTCCCTGCTTGCGTAAAGGTTCAGAATGACTTACAGTCACGTTCGAATGCCAAGTAAGGCAAAAGCAGCAGGAGCCAAAAGAGGGCGAGGTCTGTAGCAGATGATATATTGGTGGGCTGCAGCCTGAGAACCTCCCTGCGGTTCCTTGGGATTTCTGTCGCCTGAAGAGCCAGTTTCCTTTTCTTCTTAATCAAATGGGCCGTGCAGAGCAAGGGAGGCAGGAAAGGTCTTGCTGTGCTCTTCCTCTGGGCAAAATGTCTCATGCATTTTGTTTCGTTTGTTTAGACCTTGTGGCTCAAACAAGGCACTTAAGCTCGGCACTAAAGGAAAAGAAGTGGATAATTTTGTGGATAAACTAAAATCCGAAGGCGAAAATATCGTTGCTTCCTCGGTTGGCAAACGTTCCTCCAATGCAGCAGCTGTTCTTGCTTCGCCCATTAACATGGAGAGGTACGTGGAATGCAGGGAGGCACACAGCATCCTGCACAGCAGAGACCAGGCCTGTCTAGCCCAAACCCATCCCGGGATCCTGGTCCTCTGGAGCGCAAATACCTTTAGTTGCCTTTCAAGCAGGAGCTCAGCAGCCAGGTGCAGTTTGGGTACAGTTGAGTGCAGCTTTGAGCTCTGTTACCTTAAGCCAAAGGGAGCTTTTTAACCCTTGGCTTGATAGCTGAGTCACTGTGGTCTCCTTTGTCCCAAGCTGTGAGCCATAAAGAGACTGTAGTCCCGCTGCAGGTTGGCACAGTGGCGTTTGGGTTCTCAGCAAACTTGCAAGGGTCAACACTGTAACACAATGATGCGTGACGGGTCTGTCTGCAAAGAGGCAGGGCGGCGGAAGGGCTGCTCCTCTCTCGGTGCCTGGGAAGCACGGAGGCACCTAACGCCTGGTCCCCTGGCGGCCGCTCCTCTCTTCTAGCGTGCACATGAAGATAGAGGAGAAGATCTCACTCACCTGTGGCCGGGATGGGGGGCTTCAAAACATGGAGCTGCATGGCATGATCATGCTGCGGATCCTGGATGAAAAGTTTGCTCGGATTTGTATCCACATTGAGAATGAGGACAAAAAGGGTGTGCAGCTCCAGGTAAGGTTGGGCTGGAGGTGAGGCTCAGGGATATTTTGGGGTGAAGCAGCTTGGCTGACGGGAGGCTCCCTTTTCAGACTCACCCCAACGTAGACAAGAAGCTTTTTACGTCAGAGTCGGTGATTGGCTTGAAAAACCCAGATAAGTCGTTCCCCATCAATAGTGACGTGGGGGTGCTGAAGTGGCGGCTGCAAACGACGGAGGAGTCTCTCATTCCGCTGACCAGTGAGTTGTTTCGGTTCAGGGAGTAGCAGAGGCGGAAGCCGGTCAGCCCGCGTCCTGCTTCTGTCCCTGCTGAGGACGTTTGGGGCTCCTGGCTGGAACCATCTCAGCCGGCTTTCCTTTTGGATCCTAGTTAACTGCTGGCCCTCCGAAAGCGGCAACAACTGTGACGTCAACATCGAATATGAGCTGCAGGAGGAGAACCTGGAGTTAAACGACGTGGTCATCGCCATCCCTTTGCCGTGAGTAATTGTCTTGCCCGCCAGGAACCTCCCCACGCACCAATGGTGCCAGTTCCGGGATGGGATGGTGGGGAGTTCGGCGCTAACTCATTGTTGGTTCTCTAGGCCTGGTGTGGGGGCGCCTGTAATTGGAGAGATTAACGGTGAATACCGCCACGATAGCCGGAAAAACCTCCTCGAGTGGTGCTTGCCAGTGGTTGACGCCAAAAACAAAAGTGGCAGCCTGGAGTTCAGCATCGCAGGGCGGCCAGATGACTTCTTCCCCGTGAACGTTTCCTTCGTCTCCAAGAAGAACTTTTGCAACATTCAGGTGTGTCTCCCGGGGGGGGGGGGGGCTGAATGGCAGCTGTTTCCCTTCTCCTTTGCTCTGCCCTGTTTGGAGGAAGCTGCCTATCGAAGCAAAAGGGAGCCGGCCGACCAGCTGCTTCTCCGTGGAATGGTGCCCTGGGCCCCTGTCCCTGTCCGCCTCCAGCACTGTTCCTTCAGGGCGCCCCCGTCGTTCACCAAAACCTCCGCCTGGAGAAGTCAGAGGACGGGCAGCGGGCCTTGCCTCATGGAGCCGCAGCCAAGCGCCCTTCCCAACTGAGTGCCTGTCTTTTCTTTCTGCAGGTCACCAAAGTGACCCAGGTGGATGAGAACAGCCCTGTGAAATTCTCCACCGAGACCACCTTCCTCGTGGACAAGTATGAGATCCTGTAACCCTTGCGGAAGGGGAGCTGCAAGCAAGGCCAAGGCTGGCTACTTACAGAGAGAGAGAGAGAGAGCTGCATCCATCGGCATCGGGGGGGGGGGGGGGGGGGACACGTTGACATTTGTTTACCCACTGACCTTATTTCCCAGGTCCCGACTGCTCAGGCAGGGAGAGACTTCCTGCTTCTCTGGCACAGCTGCCTGACCTTGGCCGGCACCTTCTCACCCCACCCCACCCTTTCCTTCCTCAGAGGGTACCCCAGAACTCCCTGCTGGCTCCAGATGCAGCGTCAAGGAGACTGCTACCATGGGAGAGGAATAGGGCTAGCAGCCCCCCTTTTCTGGTGCTGTGCAGACCTTGCCAATCCATCTGGTCCTGAGCCCGGGGGGGGGGGGGAGCGTTCATGCTTGTGCAGCTCTTGCCTGAAAGCTCCTCCCTCCTCTCGATCCTTTTTTCTGGCTGTTTCTCTGACTTTGAGATCCTGGCAATCTCGGGGACTTGGGGCCAGGGAAGCCTGGGGCACCTTCAATGCATTGGGCTGTGCTCGCCTGCTGAAGAAGACCCCGGCCTCTCCTGCACCACCTCTGTCCCGAGAGCCCCGGGTGGGGGCCACGAATCAAACCGACTGGAGATTTGCCTGCCTGATTCTTAATATGGGGTTCAGTTTAATTCTATTGTCAAATGCAATTTACTCTCAAACGACGTTGAAGGTAACACTGAAATAAGGTTTTGGAACCCTGCAAAATAATTACAGCCTGTATGACACATTCCAGTGTGTGCGAAGAATCGTTGCTCCTGAATCTAATAAAGAACATTTTAAAAGGAAAAAAAAGGTTCTCTTTAGCTCTGGGCAAACAAGGACTCAGCTTATGTCCTGAAGCAGCGCTAGATCCCAGGAGGAGTTGCTGCAGGAGGGGGGGGGGGGGGGG